TGATATGTATGTTCAAGACTCTTCTCCAGCACCACAACTCAGAGGCATCAATTCTTCTTCTGTCATCCTTAGTCATTGCCCAGCTTGTTGATACATAGAAAGTAATTGTGAAGACCATGGCTTGTATCAAGCGCACTACAGTCTCTAGACTGACGTCATTACTTTTCATAACTTTGGAGAGGTCTCTGACAGCAGATTTTTGCAGTGCAATTTGACTTTTGATTTCCTGACTGCGGGTGCCAAGAGTGTTGATTGTGGAGCTGGGCAAGCATTAATTGTTAACAACCTCAGTCTCTTCTCCATCCGTCATGGTGCTGCCAGTTGGCCCAGTGGTGAGAATCTTTTTTTTTTTTTTTTACTTTGCTATGCATATCTTATTCTGGACTATTTTCATGCAAATAATAACGTAATCATGTATTTCTTTTATACTGTTCTTTTCCTCATCTATTTAAATGCAGTGTTTATTATTTATCCCCTTTTCATAGTTTCTCCCGACCCCTATTGTCAGTCCTGTTTTATAACAGTGCCATTATGTAGTATTTATCCTTTTGTGAGTGAGAATTTCACTCAGCATAATGTCCTCCAGGGTCACGCATTTTGTATCATATTTTATTAGTTCCTTGTTTTTCAGTGTTGCATAATATTCCATTGTGTGAATACACCACAGCTTCTCTATCCATTCATTTGTTGATGGGCACTTGGGTTGCTTCCATCTCTTTACTACTGTGAACAATGCAACAATAAACATGAGTGTGCATATATCTGTTTGGGTGGCAGTTCTAGTCCCTTTAGTGTATATTCCCAATAGTGTAATTGCTGGGTCAAATGGTATTTCTATTTCCAGGTTTTTGAGAAAGTTCCCATACTGCCTTCCAGAATGGTTGCACCATTTTACACTCCCACCAACAGGGAATAAGGATTCCAGTTTCTCCACAATCTCACCAGTATTTGTTGTTTGCTGCTCTGTTGTACTTTCCTACTGTTATTGGATTGAGATGACATCTCATAGTTGTTTTGATTTGCATCTCTTAGAGCTAGGGATTTTGAACATTTCTCTATGTGATTATTCACCATCTGAATGTGTTCTTTGTTGAGAGAATCTTGGTCTTCTTGATGTTGAGCTTCAATCCATACTGAAGACTACATACAATCCTTGACCATAGCAAGCACTTCAGATTCTTCTCACTTTCAGCAAGCAGGGTTGTGTCATCTGCATACTATAGGTGGTTGATGAGTCTTCCTCCAATCCTGATGTCACATTCCTCCTCATAAAGTCCAGCTTCCTGAATGACCTGTTCTGCATATAGATTGAAAAGGTATGGAGACAGGATGCATTCCTGATGCATTCCTTTCCTGATTTTGAACCATGCAGTATTTCCTTGCTGTGTCCTGAGGACTACTTCCTGGTCCAAGTATGTTGTTGTTGTTGTTATGTGCTGACAAGTCGCTTGCGACTCACAGGGATGATATGTACAACAGCCCTAAACCCTGCTCTATTTTGTGCCAATCACACTGCCTCCAACACACCCATCCTGATTATCCCAGTCACTGAATCAATCCACCTCATAGAGCGTCCAGGTATAGGTTTTGCATAAGCAAAATCAAGTGTTCTGGTATTCCCATTCTCCTCAAGGTGGCCACAATTTGTTGTGATCCACACTGTTGAATCCCTTTGCATAATCAATGAAACACAGATAGACATTCCTCTAGTACTCTTCTGCCAAGATCCATCTGACATTTGATGATAATGTCTCTAGTCCCATGACCTGTTCTACACGAGCTCGTATTTCTGGTAGTTCTTTGTCAATGTACTATTTCAGTCATTTCTGTATAATCTTCAGCAGGATTTTGCTTGCATATGATATTAAAGATATTTTTCAGTAATTTCCACATTGTCAGTTCACCTTATTTTGGAATGGGATTAAATAGGGATCTCTTCGAGGCAGTTGCCCTGCAGATTTCTTGGCACAACCTGGTGAGCATCTCCAAGGCAGCATCTATTTGTTGAAATATGTTAATTGGTATTTCATCAGTCAGTACCTAGAGCTTTATTTTTTGCCAAGTCCTTCAGAGCAAAATGAACTTCTCCTTGCATCACCGTTGCCTCTTGATCATATGTTGTTTCTTGAAATTCTGTGTCAGCCAATTCTTTTTGGTATAGTGACTCTGTATACTCTTTCCATCTTCTTTTAATGCTTCTTGAATCAATATTCTGTCCATATGATCCTTAAGTGTTGCAACTTGTGTCTTGAATTTGTGCTTTTGGTTCGTCAGCTTAGGAACTGTCGAGCAAGTTCAGCCCTTTTGATTTCTGATTCAAGCTCCTTGCACATCTCATTATAGTACTTTGTTTTGTCTTCTCAAACTGTCCTTTGAAATATTCTGTTTAACTCCTTAACTTCTTGATTTTTTTCCCCCTTTGCTTTGGCTTCTGCAATATTTGGAGTCTCTTCTGACATATATTTTGGTCTATTCTTCTTCCTCTGTCTTTGTAATGACCTTTTGCATTCTTCATTGACGATAATCTTCATATAGTCCCACAGCTCATCTGGTCTCGTTCATTAGTGTTTTCTATCATACCAGTAAGCCTGGTCATTTTTATGATTTTGAATTATGTTCCACATCTTTTTCTTACTTTTTTTTTCCTCATTTTTTTACATTTCCACATTTTTTTCCTTTTATCATCCTGGATTGTGACTCCTTTCAGTGCGGTCAGCAGTTGTAGCCAGGCACCATCTTGTTCTGTTTCCAGAATCACAGAAGTTGAGGTTCTTGTGGTCCCTTTAATAATATAGACTAATTCTTTACAAGTAGTTTTTCTTTTCTTCAATTTTCTTTTCTATGGTTAAGAAGAGAACAGTAGTTGCAACTTAGGTTGTCCTTCTGCAAGCTTTTAAGAGGAGAATGATTTTTAAATAAATTGATCCTAGGAAGTAGATGGTGGAGCATCTTCTGCTGAATTATGATATAGAAATCCCTATCAAGAAGATGCTGACTACATTTTAACTTTCACTGTAAATCCTCGTGTAGTACAGGATTTTATTTTCTTCCGCATAGTAAGGTTTTAACGTTCTCCAAACATGAAAGTTGTGTATGTATATTAACAAAGATTATGATTTAACATAGGACATTTATAATTAGGAGATACCAGCCTATCTTTTTTACAAATATCCTATCATTTTCTCAGTTTATTGGTTGGTATCTAGTTCTTATTCCTTTTTTTCTTTTTCTTTTCTTTTGTATTATTGTTCTTTTGTACCATAGAGTCGGACCCGACCCATAGCTGACTCTCTGGGCAGGTTTTCAGAGGCAGTTGATAGCAGGGCAGATTACTCACCTTCTCATGTGGAGGAGCTGGTGACCTCGAACTGTGTACCTTTGGGATTGCAATGCAGCTTCTTGCTACTCAGCTTTTCTAGTCACTCATTTTTCATATCCTAGTCTTATTCTTGGGTGTCCTAGTGGCAAGAAGCTGCACTGCAATCCTGAAGCCCTGCAAACATGGTTTTAGGCTACCAGCCTCTCCGCTGGATAGGCAATCTCCTGCCCTGCTCAATTCTGACTCTATGATACACAACAAGAAGTCTTATTCTACAATAGAATTAAGATGATTTCATGCTTTTTTTATTGACCATTCTAATTGAATCTTACGTTTTTCCTCCCGCTTTTAAAGCCTTTGTGTGGTCTGTTCTTTCTTAAATGAATTTTATCTTTATCCAGCACTTCAAAATATATTTGACTTGATGTGGTGTCCACTGTATAGACTTTACCAATATCTCCATTAATTTTCCCTTTTGTATTTAACCTCTGTTTCAAGGGTATTTAACCTCTATTTCCAAGGAAGCTATTAACTTTTTTTCTTAATGAATGAACCATATGCAATATCAATTGCAGTTTAATATATTGAGATTTTATCTATCAATGTTGGTAGCCAAAAATAGTTTACACAGTGGAAGTAAAAAATTAAGAAATCTGGCTTTATGAGCAACAAAATTTAGCAGGAAATTAAATTTTAATATAAAATTTACAAATTGTAATTTTTAAAGTCTTAAGTTCATCATCAGTATGATAATACCTATATTTTAGGGATTCAAAGAAATTATTTTATGCTAACTATATTTAATCAAAATAGAGCTTAACTTGTGTTTGTGAGCCCCGTCTAAGTAAGCCTTACATTTTTATATTCAATGTCTAGATGCTGAATAATTTCTGTAATAGGTAGTATGTCTATTGTTCTTCCTTTTGATTTCTAATTGTTATAAATGTGTAACAGTGTAACAATCTCATGTAGGTCAACTTTCTTAACATTCCTCTTAACAAATAACTTTCTTGACTAGTTTGGGAAATAGAGGATAAATCAGAAATGTTTGAGATGTTTTTCATAACTTATACCCTATTCGGATATCTTACTCTCTCTGCTGTCCTTACATGGAAATTAATAGCTGTAGTGCATTATTATCACCAAATGAATTTGAGATAACCCTCAGTGTTAGCCTAGAAAAAAAAATAGAAATTTGGAAATTATTTTTCTATTTTGTTACTGATAATGTATTAAAAATACCATAGTTTTTCATTTACTTTTTATCTTAAAAGAAAACTAGTTAAGAAACCATTTTAGAAACAAAACTAATTATCTGTTGTGCCTAATAATAAAATGATACATTTTTTTATATGGCATCAAATTAGGCAAATACTTTTCTCAGAGGCCATTCTTAACAGTCCAGAAAATGGCACTCTCTTACAAACATTATGACTTTGGGTTGCACATGTGAAAATTAACACAAGGAATTCTTAAGAAAAAGTTGTTTCAGTCTTTGTTCTTATTTATTTTTGTCTTGAATAATCTTCACAAAGTGTACTTAAAAAAAAAAAAAACACAACAGAAAAATCAATACCCTGAATGGCTAGGTTTCATTTGTCTACTTTCTGTTCTGCCTTCAGTATTAGGTCCCTTCTTTCTACCCTCTTTACTCTTAATTAATCCTGTACCTACTTCACAGGCCGGTTCTTTGATGAGAATGAATCCCCTGTTGATCCGCAACATGGCTCTAAACTGGCGGATTATAATGGGGATGATGGTAACGTAGGTGAGTATGAGGCAGACAAGCAGGCTGAGCTGGCTTACAATGAGGAAGAAGATGGTGATGGTGGAGAGGAAGACGTCCAAGGTGAGCGTGGGCCTGGCTTCCATGCTGTGACAGTGCAACCCACCTCTAAGTTTTTGGTTGAATTTGTGTAGAGTTTTAATAATAGTATAGCCTTAAAATTAATTCAAAGATGTTCTGTGCAATTTTTTTTCAGTTTTAATTTAAAAATTATATGATTGTGGTATTTACAGATCTGTAATTCTACATGTATGTACTGATTTGAAACTCAGAATCTTTAGATATTTTATAAAGTGTTTAAAATCACTCTAGCCATTACCTAAGGCAATGCTCTAAGAAAATATTTTCTATTTCCTTCTGTGAAAATATTTCATTACTCTAGGTTCAAATATTGCCTATATATTCTTTTTTGTTATAAAAGCAGCCACAAAGGAAATGGTCTCCTCCACATTAAAGATCATTTCAACATAGGAAGGGCTGTTTTTGCAGTATATTCTAAGAGGCTTTAAAAAATGTCTATTTAGCAATCAGTTTCATAAGAATTTTCTTTATCTTTAATACACAGATTCAACATGTTATCTCTGAGCTTTTAAGTTAAAGTTCAGAATCTGTGTGCATGCAGCCCTACCCTGCATGTGTATCAGAGTATGTTGCTTATTAGGCCTGATTCTGCTTGCTACACCATTTAAGAAGTACTTGTGGAACTTTTTATCTGTCCTATAAAAGCTGATTATGAATTTGGTGTGTGGTATATTAGATTTTCATGTAATGCATGAATAATTTTTTTTCTCCAATGCAATTTGTCTTGATTTCCCTCATAGTTTTTTAAAAGTAATTAAAATTTTATTTACATTCATAAGAATTTTTTAAAATTCAAAATAAATAAAAGTTGTCCTAAATTACTCTATTTGTTAATTAATACAAGGAAGAATAGAGGCTCTTGACTTCTGTCTAGGCATTGTTTTGATAGTATGTTCTGGATTTAGAAAAGTGTGATTAATGATGATAAAAAGAGATTAATAAATCCTAGGAGTGATTTAAGGATTTATTAATGAGAACTTCTCAAACTCTTTTGGGTAAAATTGCATCAATTATACTCATTTAAAAAATTTAATCTCACCCCATTTTCCTAAACTTTACCTCTTTTTTGTTCTCATTACTTTTTATAATTTGTTGGGATTATATTTATTTTGAATTCTTTATAATACTGTTTTAAGTCTTTCTTGCATGTATATCATATTACCAGTTAGAGTGTAAGCTCTTGGAGGGCAGGGATTTACATTTTGCCTTCTGCTTGTGTCCTTTTCTGCCTTCATACTTAACCCCAATAGCACTTACAGCACACACAGGGTTCTCAATAAATGTTAACTGATAATTCTGTGCTTTTCTCATTGTGTTTTGTTCTTATAACTATAACTAAATATAATACTTATTTAACTTTGGGTTCGTGAGCTTGCTTGATTTAAATTTACATCCTCATTTTCTTTCCAAAGGGCTTCTATCATCATGTGTGATAATTCTGAGGTTTATATTAGCACAATTCGAACCATACTAGACCGTATAAATACTGCTATCTTGAAGTTTATGACTTTTATTACAAAATGTCTGCCTATTATTTTTATAATGTTTACTTATAAATAGGTACACATTTATCTTCAGTGCATTTCCTGCTTTCCTGTACCCTCCACCTCACCTATCCCCAGATATCATTATTGCTACTTTGTATTTCAGGTCCCTAATACCCATATCCTGCCTTGCTCTTCTTTTCAGAAGAAGATACATTGACTCTTAGGAGATGATTTAAGAGAACCTGGATGTAGAGAGAGAGTTCTTAGATGTTTTGGTTTTCCTCAGTTGCAAAGGAATCTTCATTGAACTTATACTCCTTCTGGTATCAAGTGTTGGTAATTCAGTGGTAGAATTCCTGCCTTCCATGTGTCAGATCTTGGTTTGATTCCTGGCTAATGCAACTCATGTGCAGCCCCTACCTCTTGTCAGAGGTGGTGTTGCAATGATACTAAATAAATAGGTTTCAACAGAGCCTGTACTAGACTAAGAATAGGAAGAAAGGCCTGGCAATCTACTTCTATAAATTAGCCAGTGAAAACCCTGTAAGTCTTAATAGTGTGATTCACAACTAGTCTTGAGGGTGGCACAAAGCTGTACAGAATTTCATTCCATTGAGAATGAGGTCATGATGAGGTAGGAGCTGAGTTGATAAGCATGTCTTCAGAAATGCTTTTGAAATGCAGTGTTAACTATCCAAAAAGCAAAGAGGAGGAATGCTGACTGTCCCTAATTTATCAACAAATTGGATCCCAAATTTTTTATTAAGCAAGACTATTTGGAATTTAAAATACTTTCTTTTCTGAATCAAGAGAAATAATGGTAGGGAAAAACCAAAACAAAACCCTAACCATTTTGCATGAGAATCAGACCACTATTTCAAATCACTCTCGGCACCATCATTTCTTTAGTTGTAAGGTGAGAGTACTATAGATGATCTTTTTCAGTTTTAAAGTTTAGTAGCCACCTTGAAGTGGTACCACTTCTTGTTATTCCTCAGGTTTTAATGGGGAAATGTGTGTCATATTTCAGAATTCCTGAAAAATATCTTCTCTCAAACATATGAGGGAAAAGGTAAACTTTGTTGCCACCCCTGAGACTTTGCAGTGAGGATACCAAAAATGAAGCATGTACTTCAGAAAGTCTGTTGAGGTGCTAGCTGTGGGATATCTTTTCTACTCTATCCAGGATAAGGGGAGTTCTTTTTCCAGCAATGAAGTCTTTTAAGAATAGAGATTCTGGCTATAAAACCCTTGCTTCAACTAAGGATACTTTATTTTGTTTTCAGGATTCCTGGATTGTAAATGGAGGCTTCTGGCAATTTGTCTGCCAATAGGTGCTAAAAGATTTCAGCTTTAGGTCTGATACCTGTTCATATGGAATGATCATCTGGATCAAAACTACCTAAAGATTGTTTTCTTGTAGATGTTTTATTTAAGTGAGGCCTATGTTTTCTGTATTTATAATCATAATTTAATTTTTTATTTACTGGCTTTCTGAAATACTCTACAGGAAAATCTATTTTTATATTGATGTAAACAAATTCCTGACTTCTATTAGTAATCCAGCAAAAATATTAACTCTGAACATATTATATGTCTAATGGATAATATATTTTATTTCCTTTTTTACTGTAATTAACAAGTAGAGACTTAAAAATTTCCTTCATCTCTTTAGTCCTATAAAAATTAATTTGTTTAATGTAATATAAAATGCTTGAGTATTAGCTATGGAAGTCATCATAATGCTTAAATACATAGAGTCTAGCCAGACTGGGTTTGTATCACAAGCCCTACCACTTTATAGCTATCACTTGGAGTTACCTGACCTCTGTCCCTCACTTTCCTCATCTGTAGAATAGGGATAAATATAGTATCTTAACTCAACAAGGTTGCTGCATGGATTAAATAACTTAATATTAAGAACTCAGAATGGAGCCTTTTAACTCTTTAAGCACTACATCAATGTCTGATGAATTTTTTTTTTTTAAGAAACGAAATCTAGATTGTTTCTCTTTGTTGCCTGCAACAAAGAAAACTACACTCTGGCCTGTTGATTAACCTGCATTTTTTCAGTAGTACACCTCATGATTTTAAGTTCTTGCTTGGTAGAGCTTGGGTTTTGGAAGTAGCCCTTTCTTGTTTTCTGAGTGAATTTAGGATTTAGTTAAATTATGATTGACTTCCTAATATATAGAGGAGCTGTGGTGGCCTAGTTGTAAGGCGTTGCATTATTAGCCCAAAGGCCATGCTTTTATGGGATAAGATAGGCCATCACCTCCCATGTGATTTATAGCACTGTAAACCATGAGAGGCTGAGCTATGAGTCAATTGCAGTTGGACAACAATGAAAGAGTTTTTCTCTAATTCTCTTTCCTTTAAGGCTTATTTTACATTGATGAGTTATATATGGAATTTCCTATTCTGTGAAATGAACTAAAGTATTTCATGATCACAATATCTTGTATTAGAATTGGCTAGATAATTTCATCATACTTTACAGATAAATCCAAGGAGCTTTTTGATAGAAACTTGAACTTTAGACTGAAGAGCAGCTACATTGAAAATGGACTTTCCATTCATATGAACGATAGCTCAATGTTAAAAAAAAAGTCCTATGAAATTACAGAAGAGTATGAAGGTATCATATTAAAACTTTTTTGGAAAGCATAGAAATAAGACCAAAAAAGTTCTTTAAACTTACAGATGACTTTGCAATTAAAGAATCAGAAGCAGGAATGGAATCCACTTCTGAAATAGCTTGCCTCCAGAAATTCTGTGAACCTAGGGAAACAATGAAAGTTACTCAAGTGTTCAGGTCTTTCATTCATAGGGTTGTTATGAGTCGTCTACAACTCAATGGCACTTAACAACAAGTCATATATATGGTTGTATTTTGAGAAAGGAAAGGGATTTGTTATTCCTGTTCTACCAGGAAGGTAATTAGAAGCCAAAGAGTGGTTCAGTAAGTGTTCTTTTTAGTGCCACAGCAGGACTAGGATTCAATTTTTCTATTCTTAGCCTTTTGCTATTTATCTCATTTTTTTCTTTACTTTTACTCATTTAAAAAAAGTTCCAAAAGTAACAGTATTTTTACTTGCATGACCTTTCTCATTTAACTTTTAGCAATTCTCAACAGTAGTTTTCCCCCAGCAGACCATGGTGATTAAGCTTTCATTTAAATTACATAAGTCTTGAAAGATGTGTTTATAGCCATCAGGTGAGAACTTATATCATGGGTCCTAAGGAGAGCTTTCTGGAGAGATGCCAGGGCATATTTTCTTTTTGAAAACCAAAAACAGTATTTTAAAAATCCAGAGTTCATTAATAAGTAGTTGATTAGTACATGTTCAGAACACAGAATAATGCTGTTTTTGTATACTGTCCAGTCAGTACTGACTCAAAGATTACTATATTGAGTTTTTAAGGATGAATATGAATAGTATGTTAATAATTTCACAATTTACACATTATAACATGTTTGAATATTTATATTTAGCTGATATATACTATTGTTGAGATCAATTTGTTTGTGTTTGCTAGCAGTTCTAAAGATTTTCTATAATACAATAATGGATGATTTTTTTTTAAGTGACTAGGAGATAGGAAAATGTACAATGAATGAATGAATGAAAAATCCAACTTTTCTGTAAGACTTAGCTAAAATCATAATTAAAAAACATTTTCCATAAATTTATCAGGAAAGCTATTAAAGAAAAACAAAAAGTTGGCTGTTTTGGCATTTTTTAGAAGAGGTATAAAACATAAATTTGTTTTCCAAGAGCGTAGTGTACTAGGGGGAATGGTTGGGAGGGTAGAAAAGTGCAACAATGAATGAATGGAAATCCAAAGTCTCTGTAAATTTTCACTGAAAATAATAAATTTAAAAAAGAAAAACCCCATAAATTTATATTATTAGAGCGCTCTTTAAATTATGTAAACTTTTATTTCCAGATAATTATTTTCAGAGTATTACCTATAAAAAAATTAAGCTATTAGGTAATTATAAGGATGAACCAGAAAGTAAGAAAAGCCATTTTTTAAGGCTTCTAAAGAGAGCTCTTTCATGGTGTAGTACGTTATGTTGCATTGCTAACTAGAAGGGTCAGTGATTACAATCCACCCGCCACTGTGGTATTATGAAGATTTACAGCTGCAGAAATTTGTTGGAGGGAATCTGTGAATTGGCAGAAATAGGTTTGGTTTTAATAAGGAGTCAGAAAGGGTCATAAAGAAACATGTACTCAAAAGGGAGCCCTTAGATTCTGATTAAAACTTTTTTTTATCTTATTCTAACATAACTTTAATAGTTTTATTTTCAAACCTGTGGTTTCCTGCAATTTGTAGTAAAATTTGAAAGAAGATATTGGCAGATAGACTATATTGAAGTGACAGCTGATAGAAGGGACCAGAATAGGCTGCCAAAAAATCAAATAGAGTGGTTCCAAAGGACTATTTCGAGCTATTCAAAGTGACTTTGAAGATCCTATTTTATAATAATATTACATAAATTTTGTTTGGTCGGGTAAAGGTTACATTTTCATCAATAGGAAATAAAGAGTAAATTATTTGCAGAGAAGGAAATTCACTAAAAGGTTAAGTATTGGCATTGAGAGGGTCATCAATAGGAAATAAAGAGTAAATTATTTGCAGAGAAAGAAATTCACTAAAAGGTTAAGTATTGGCATTGAGAGGGACTTATTTCCCAATTTTTACAAAAGTATGAACTACCATTTTCCCCCTTTCTATTGCATTATTTTATTTTTAATTTTTCCTTTTTTGTATGAACTACTTTTATAATTTGAAATGTTTTTAAAGTATGAAAATATATAGAAAAGTTTCTACCAAGTTTTATCTTATTTTTTTCCACACAAATCGTAACATGCAACACACACACATAAGAAACTAAATTGTGTTGGGATTGTGCAGTTTTAAAAAAATGCATGAAATTTGTGTAAAAACATAGCAGTTTAAAGAAAAAATTCCCTACCAAAAAACACTTTTTATTCCTAAACTATGAAAAGAATATATTTATATAAAAGGAATAACTATTTAGTGTTTATGAGTTCCTGGTTTTGTTATCTTTATCTAGCTCTACTGAAATCTTACTATTTATCTATTTTCATCATTTGTTGCAATTATGTAATCTTCTAGAATAGTTAAGACTCTGCTCTTCAAGCAAGCAACCAAGAAACAGTAAACTATTTGCACAAGTTATAAAACAACAAGCAGTATATAGCAGGGAAGAAATGAAGTATCATCTAATTGGATTTCTGCGAGTGATTTTAAAAATAATATTCTTGATATATAATTATTTCACCTACAGATGATGAAGAACGAGAACTTCAAATGGATCCTGCAGATTATGGAAAGCAACATTTCAATGATGTTCTTTAAGTCCTAAAAGAAAACTTCAGACAACCTAAAGTGCTGTATAAATGGAAACATTTCTACTTTGTTGGTTGGTTTGATTGTTTTTTTGTTTTTGGATTTTTTTAAATTTTTGTTGTAAAGATCAATTGTATCCATTGTAAAGATACTCTGAGATAAATTTAAGTAAAAACTTTAATGGAGGAATGTACCCATGTACATATGTGAACTTTTTCATATTGTATTATCAAAGCAGAGACTTTTTTTAGTTATGATACAGTTGAGCCAAAAACATAGTAAGCAAAACTGTAATCTTTACATTTAAAGTAAACTAATGTATATTTTACATTTTATTGGGCCTAATTCTTTTTAAAAAATGGGACAAGTAAGCAAAGATTGTTGTACAGTTTATATGTTGCCAATAGCATAACCACAGTGAGAACAATTATTCAGCTGAGAAACTTTTTATATACTAATATATTCTTCTTAGCCCAACCAAATGTTCTATCTGCCCCTCATCTCATGCTTATCATGGAATTATACTAGAATAGTTACATAAAAAAGAGAAACTGTAGACTAAAACACTGGGCAGCATGTGTACAAAGTCTCTGATGTATTTTGGCTGAGGCCTGATGAAAACTGAGATAACCTATAAAGATGTAAAAATATTTATGCATCATACACCTTACTAAATTAATGAAATTATGGAGTGCATGACTGACAATATATTTTTAATTTTATTTTTTCACATAATGCCAGTATTGCTTCTACATCCAGAACTGGCTAAAATTTTTATATGTTCAGAGTTTAAATTGGTAAAGATATTCATGATTTAAATGTTAAATCCTGGAAGGGGCTAACTCGGAAATGAATCTGCAAATCAGTATTTCAAAGCTTCTCTGGTAGTTTTAGTGATATTATTTGACTAGAATTTTTCAGAAGTACTAAATAAGGAATTTTAACAGATGTTTTATTAATGCACAGATAAACAGAAGTACATGAGGTGTCGACAGCCATTTTACTGAAATAGCTTAAAAGTTTGTAATAAAGATGAAAAATGTTTGTAATGCTTAGTGTTAGCGAAGAACCCATCAACCTCGTATTTTCTAGAGCTGCAAAATTATTTCAAATGCATTTATCTTTCTTGAAACTATTTAGTAGAATACATAACATAGCTAATCCTTATTTTTGGATTTAAAATACTTTTAAATCCTATCCCTCTAAAAAATTTTTTTTTAATCAGAAGAACCAACTTGATTAAGATTAACCCTATTTTTCCCCCCGTTTCTTCAGAAGGGCTACTGTTAATTGCACATAAACATAATATACATTTGTTTTTCTGTACTCAGGTTATAGTCAAAATTCAAATTATAGAGACAAAGAAATACGTTGTTCACTTTGAGTTGCAGAAGTTCTTGGATTTCACGTTGAAATTTTTATTGATCAGAAAAAAATGCAATAATTTGTTAAAATTGTTTTTCCATGATAACAAAGTCAGCAGTCTATATGCCTTTGCTATCAGCAGGTACAAGCTAACAATGAACTGGTTTGATGGTTCACACAATTTTTTTAACCTCATTAAAGAGAATTGATGTAGTTATTTGGGGCATTAGTTTGGGGAAAATGAATCTAAAAAATACTCTTCATGATATTTTAATACTATAAAATATTGAAAAATGAAAACCATCTAATTTTCTGCCTTAGTTCCTTTGGCATAAAAACAATCACTTGGTTATACAGTAGCTATTATTTACACAGCAAAATTTCTTCAATTAGTAGCCTAGATATTTTATAAAATGAGAAACTTTGGACCAATTGATAAAATTTCTGACTGTATTAACATTTTAGTACTGCAAAATATTATGTGAATCTCTTAAAATTCTGACATTCTATAGTCTGCATTAGACATGCTAGTTTTATAATGTTTTACTTCTGCCTTAAAATTTAGGTTTTTTTTTATTAATGTATTTTTGCCCTGGATTAAGTGTTCATTTGATGGAAACTCTGATTTTAAAAAAGTCATCACTGGGTTCTAATAAATTAAAAATTAAACTTGTTTCATTGTGTTATTGATACATCTCTACACATCAACTTGACAGCACCTAACAACAATAGATACACATCGTATTCATGTGTTAAGTTACATTTTAGCACTAAGATTTATGCAAACTTAGAATGCATTTTAAGCTAAACTGGAATAGTAAAAGAGAGAGAACTGTAGGCTAGTTCTTTCAACAAATACTGAATACCTGCTGTATAGAAAACTCAGTGCTGTAGAGTCAGAATTCAGCTGACTGAGTTTTCAAAGGCTGTAAATCACATAGGAGGAACCTGCCAGTCTTTCTCCCCCAGAGCCACTGGTAGATTCAAACTGCCAGAGAGGAGTGCCACCTTTAGGTTAGCAGCACAACTCTACCTACAAAGCCACCTCTATTTGTAGAGAGGAAGCTTTGGTGGCCTAGTGCTAAGAAACAGCACTGCAATCCCAAAGACGGAGGGTCCAAATCCACCAGCTGCTCTGCTCCTGTGCAGTTAACTGCATCTGAAAACCTGCTGGAGGGTCAACTATGGGTTAGTTCCGACTCAGTGGTACACAACAACAACTCTATATAGAGAGTTAGCAAGAGAGGAAGACTCTAAATGAGGTAGACTGACACAGTGACTTCAACAATGGGCTTGAGCATTGCTGAAATTTTAAGGATGGCACAGGATAGGGGAAGGTTTAAATCTATTCTTCATAGGGTTGCTATGAGTCATAGTCAACATGATGGCCCCTAAAACAACTATAGACTCAGCAGTCTTTTAAGTAATAATATTACAGTGTGGAAGATATACATGATCTCTTTTCTCAAGTGTAGGCAGTTAGACAATAATATACAGTTAAACAAATGAACTCATCAAAAATACCCTAAAACCACAACAGGGAACTCTAGTGGTATAGATAATTTTAAATAGTGATAAAAGCTATTATGTTACAGGGACCATGAGAGCTATCAGATAATGCCACTCTGAGGAAACTATATTTGACCTGTGCCTGATTGCAATGAAATTGCAGCCATTTTGAAATCTAGGGAATGCTTATTATAGGCAAACAGAAAAAAAGAGTACTGATTACTAAGATAACAAGTTTCATATGTCTGAAAAATATGCTGGTAGACTGGTATGGATGGAAGATAGCCAACATGGTTAGGTAAGATGAGGTCAGTCATTCAGCAGATATTTATTGAATGTCTACTTTGTGCCGAGGACTATTCTAAATTCTGAGTGTATATTATAAAGAAAACAGATAAACTCATTGTTGTCTTGGAACTTTCGTTCTAGTGAAGATTGCTAGTAAAAAAAATAATGCTAAGTGATTTAGTAAGAGTGCCTACTTTTAAAATGTGGTGGTCAGAGAAAAACCTTACTGTGAGATTAATAAGATGAGTTTTACAATGATTTGAAGGTACAATATTCCAGACATACAAGTGACAGCAAGTGTAAAGGTCCCAAAAGGAGAGTAAAGTTGGCATGTTCCTAGAATGTAGTGAACAAGGGGAAGTACATTGAAATGACAGCATATTGGTGAGCTAGAAAGATTGTAGGTTTGGTGTTAGGTGCTGCTGCTAAGAATGAGCAGACTCAGCTGACCCTCCAGCAGCTTTTTCAGAGGCTTTAAATTGGAGATTTCCCATCTCTAGCAGAGCAGCTGACCACCAGAGCTACCTATAGAGGGTTGAGTAGGCTTTAATAATGGGTGTGGATTTTATTTTAGTCTGAGTACAATGATGTGTCTATAAAAGTGACCTTAGTTTTTTCAATACTCCAGAGTTAGTTGGAGCATTATATTTGTGTGGCTAGAATGTATTGTGCAAGAAGGGAAAAGATGAGGCCAGAAAGCTATGGAACAATACCAGGACATGCTTTGTACATTTATGTGTGTAAACAGGATTGAGGGGAAGGAGAAGGAACTTGGATTAACTGAACAGCTTTTGTACTCATCCAGGTAAGAGCTGATGGATTAAGATTTGGTGGTGCTGTTAGCTGCCACTGAGATAACTACAATTCATAGTGACCTCAAGAACTAAAGATCTGAGCCTTGCCCTATCATGGATTAGGGTAGTAACGGTAACAAAGGGGGAAAGGTGGGCATATGAATTAGCTATAGGATATGAGCAAAAGAACCAAAGAGGACTTCAAAGTTTTGTAATTGAACAATTGTGTAGATAAAGGTTCTGTTTATTGATTTGGAGAAAGACAGGCTTTGATTTATCATGCTAAGGTTATCTATTAGGGTACTCTGGTGCCTTAATGGTAAATACTTATACTACCGTCACAAAGGTATGAAGTTCGAATCCAACAGCTATTCTGCAGGAGAAATATGGATAATCTCCTGTGTGGTTTATTGCCTCTGAAAACCTGCTGGAATGTTCCAGCTCTGCAGTACACAACGATGACAGCAACCAAGCTATCTATCAGACTTTCAAATAGAAAAGTCAAGGAAATAGCTCAGATAGCTGAATATGAGAAATGAAGGCCAAAAATGAAAATTTAAGAGTCTACAGAACATAAATAGATATAATTCCTAGAGGAAAGAGTATAGAGAAGAGGACTTCAGACAAAGCTCCAGGGCACACAGACAGGGTCAGTCAGGAATAGAATAAATAGATTGGCTTTATAGAAGCCAAGAGTGCTTTAAAAAATTGGAGAGGGATATCTTCTGGTCTGAAAAGTGACCTTTGGATATAGCAGGAGGGACAGACAGAAGTTGGATTTAGAGTAAGAAAACAAGCACAGGAAACTTGTTAGTGTTGTTGTTAAGTCGTAGGCGACTCATTGCGACCCTGTGAACGAATGTCCTGGACACCTGTATAACTTTTCATCCTTTCTCCAGGTTCATAGGTTTTCCAGAGGCAAGCTGTTACGGAAGTGGATGCCACTCCTGCTTCCAAGCTTGTTTTAATTGGGCATACCAGGATTACACGACCTAAAAGAATGTTTCACCAAAAACAAAGGCAGGCCTGAGGGCCGTGGAGTAGAGTCACCCA